GGGGGGGGGGAGGTTGTTATTCACTTTGTCAAGGGAAAAGATTATGATAGACTTACCTGTTTTCGCTCAGAGATACTGACAATTGCAAATTATCCCTTGGTTTCACTGCTTGGATAAGATCACTTGATGGAATATCCAATGCATGCATCACACTATACAATGTTTTAGTAGTTGCTGTTGCTGTCATTGCAAGTATGCATTGAGCCCCGAGTTTATCACGCAGTAATGATGCTTTAAGCCGCATATATGAAGGCCGAAAGTTGTGTGACCTACCAAAATGTTCGTGATTGTTGATACCACATAGAAGTTACATTTAAATAAGCAAAAGAAAAAGAGAAAAGATAACAAAGTTGCAAAGCTAGACTAGAAAATGTAACTTTGAAAAGGTCAGACTCACCATTCAGAAACACAGTGGGCTTCATCAATAACCACAAGTGAAATTTGAGTGTCACAAAAAATGGATAAAAATTCTGAATTGAGAAACCTCTCTGGTGAAACAAAAAGGACCTGAAACATAAGCATCCACTTATTTTTTAGGACAAGGAGATACCGGAAAGAAAATGATCTCAAGGAACTGCTATCGTATCTGGTTTATAATATTAGTCAACACTCAAATGAGATCGAGTATTATATGCTCATCCAAGAAAGTCCACATTAAACTTGGCCAGCAGATGTGTGACTAAATGTGATAGTGAATGGATAAAAGCTACTTTGATAATGGTGGTGTCCGGCAGCTTTGCACACATCAGCTATTCCAATGGGTACATGTATCATTCTATCAGTACATGTACGGAGTAATTCTAGTCACCAAGGCTTTAGGCAAATGGGAAGAAATCACCTAGCCTTTTTTTTTTTTGGCCTCGGCTGGGATTAGAACCCTAGTCTCCTATGATCTCCATTCCAGTTCCGTCGGCTGCTAGGTCACACATTTGGGAGTACATCAAAGCAAATTTGGAGGAAGTAAAAAAAAGCTTACCTTTATGGATCCCTCTTCTAGTAACTTATAAGTTTCCAAAACCTCCTCAGGTGTCTGCAACAGTGAAAACATTAACTCAGGAATAGCTCAAAATGCCATAAATTCGACAGGGCTAAAATTGCTAATAAGTTATACGCAACCTGGCTGCTACACAAAAGACCACCCTCCACAGCAGCAGGCAGCTGCTTTAGCTGATCAATCATTAAAGAAATCAAGGGGCTAATAACAACCGTAACTCCCTGAAAAACCATTGCCGGCAACTGATAACACAGCGACTTCCCAGCACCCGTTGGCAAAACCAACATTGTAGATTTCCCCGAAAGCACCATCTTGATTGTCTCCAACTGGCCATCTCTAAATGAATCATAACCAAAAGTCAGCTTTAACAACCTCAACAAATTCTCATCCGACGCCTCATTTCTAACCCTCATCACAGCATCTCCAATCAACTTTGTATCAAAATCCAATCTTTCCCCTCCTCTTCCCTTAACTTCCACAACTAAACCTTCTTCATCACACAGACCGTTCCCCCCTTCCCCCTCCTTACCTACAACCCCAACTTTCTTTTTCCATCTTCTATAGAATTTTTTACCGCTTGATGAATTAGAATTCCTTCTTTTGAATTTTGATGCAAACTTTTTACCATAACCATTTATGTTGAGCCTTACAAAGTTACCCTCATTAACACATTTAACCTTCTTTACTGGCAACGAAGACGACACGTTGCTCCCTATTAAATTAGGATGTTTCCTGACAACTGCTTCCTTCTTTTCAGTCTGTTGAGCCAATCGGGGTTCAATAGGATCAGCTTCAGCAGGCTCAAGATTGAGAATGGCTTTTCGGGTTTTCGAAAAGGAAGCAAATTTGGATACGCACAAGCCTCCAGCAGGAAGAACTTCACCAGAACTGTTGTCATTGGATAAAAGGGTGTCGTTACGGTGGATTTGGAAAGGTAAATCGGAGAATTTTGGTGGGGAAAGTGGATTTTGAATTAGGGGTTTCGAACAGGAAGCATTTTTCGTTAAATTTGGAAGAACTTCACTTGAAATGGTGTCGTTTTTGTGAATTTGGAAGGGTAAACTGGAGGGATTTTGTGGGTTTTGAATTGGGTTTTCTAGGGTTTTAGGGTTTGAAGGAGGATTTTTTCTGGGTTGTTTGGTTGAGGGTTTTGGTCTTAGAATTGGGCGGGAAGATTTTGTGGAAGTTATAGAGGTGTTTTTGGCTTGGGTTCTTGACTTTGCGGTAAAAAGAAGAGCACGGCGCGACGGCAACGGCGACGGTTGAGGAGGGTGGCGTGGTGGGGTTGAGGATACGTGAGAGCCATCGGAATCGGAGTCGGAATCCATGGAAGATTTGCTCGGAGTTAAAGACTGGACTTTTGCTTTTTCACTCTTACCTCCAAAGTTTTTCCCGCCAAGATCCTCTGAAGGTCAATGTTGTCACTTCGTATAAACAAAATTTCGTCATTGCCCGTTTGGACATAAGAAAAATTTTCTTTTTCTTCAAAAAATTTTCACTTTTTTCCGTAATCAGCATTTGTTTATAAAATTTTCAATTTCACTTAAAGATGCATTTTAAAAATTTTCGAAAATTTACAAATTTCCAAAAAAACTGTTTTTCAAAATTTTCACTCAGATCACTCACAAAACTTCAAAAACAACTCAAAATTATATTCATGTCCAAACATAAGGGTGTGCATTCGAATCGGTTTATCGATAAATCGAATTGATTATTTGTTATCGGTTTATCGATTTATCGATTTCGATTTCGATTTCAAAATTTTCCTTATCGAGTTATCGATTTCGATTTCGATTTTGTCCTCTTCGGTTATCGGTTTATCGATAAACTGATAAGATATACTAAAAAGACAATTTCTTTTCTTTTCATTTTTTTTTTTTACCCTTACTCTATAATACCCTTTCCTTTACCCTAAGTCTCTAACCCTATTATTTCCTCTACCAGATTTAAGGAATGATCATATTTAAAGTTCAAGGGAATGAAGTTCAAATTAATGGAAAACAGAATTAGCCGTGATGATGTATTTTATTTTTTTTTTATACCGTTGGAGTGTTGGTGGCATACATTTTATCCCTTACTTTAGTTTCGTTGCATGTGTTTGTTGACACAATTTTTATGTTACAAACGGTGTTCGTCTTATTTTAGCTTCTTTTTGTCCATATTAATTAGGCGTGTTTATAACGATATACTTTCCGTGGAAACCCGCAAGTTTTCTTATTGGTGTAATCGATAAGCCCCAAAAATCGAAAAAATCGAAACCTTATTGAAACGATAACGATAAGCATATGTACAAATCGATAATCGATAAGTAATTATCGATAAGGGTCAAAATCAAATCGATAAATCGAATGCACACCCCTATCCAAACACAACTCTAATTTTCAAATACTATTTTCACTTGAAATTTTTTTTCACTTTTTTCTGAAATTTTACAATTCTTATGTCCAAACGCCCACTATCCTTTTCTCATACTTAATTGTTTCTTTAACTTTTTCTCGAGAGAATATGAGATTTGGAATAATTTCATAACTTGATAGCAAACAAGCTATTAGCTTATATGTTAAATGTATCATCATTTAATATTATATATAACACTATTTGATTAAGAAATAGGGTTTAAGGTATTAATTCAAACTAATTGAAATAATGACTTCAAAGCCAGTACCCTAGTTAGTATTTAGTACTAGTTGGTTGGGAGAAAAGAAGACCAATTTATATGTATCTTAAGAAATTTGTAAAAGCTATAACACAAAAGTGTCAAATATTTTAGAATGATATGAAATTGAATAATATCACGTAAATTTAATAGAGAAAATACTAATAAATGCGAACATGATATAACCACAAGTTTGAACATGTCTCCTTTTAATACTCACTCGATGAACTAACCATTCAACTTAGATCTTAGGGATCGTTTGGTAGGAGGTATTAGAAAAAATAATGCAAGCATTAGCTTTATGCATTACCAATACCTTGTTTGATACATTTTTTTCAACCAAATATTAGTTATAAATCAAACTTGGTATTATCCTTTATATAAGTAATGCATAGAAAACCATGGCATTAATAATACCAAGGCTATTAATGCATGCATTAGTATGGTTAAAGATAAAATTGTCCTTAAAGTCCTTTAAAGCTAGAAAATATGGAAGGTATTTTTGTAAACAACTATTTTTCTTAAAAATTATGCAATGGATTACAATTTTAATACACCACACCAAACAGTAAATAAGAAATAATATTTGCATAACTAATGCTTGCATTACTAATCCACACATTATTAATACACCTTATTCCACACTATTCTCATACACCCTACCAAACAACCCCTTAATGATATAATACGGTCTCAAGCATATGGTAGTATTCATGTTGATAATTGTGAATAATAAAGATCTTGGCATATTAGCTAAAAGAATTACCATATGAATTAGCAAGATCAGGTGCCAGTACAAGAAAATGATGTTGTATCAAGAAAAGTTTGTTTTCATGGCAGCAGAGGCGGATTTAGGATTTTTATAACATGGGTGCACCACTAAAGAAAGGAGAAACGAGAAAGTATTAAGTGGGAATTGATCCTTATTCCTCTAGGTAAAAAACTAAACATTTAACCAGTGCATCATTTAGCCTCTTTAGAGCATGAATGCCAACAAATAATATTAGATCCATTCTAGCAAATATGTACATAAAATACCTAGTCCGCCCCATTTGCAAATTCATTATTATGGGTAGTTTCTATCAAGAATTGAACCAATGAAGTCTACAATACTTGTCCTGAAGGGACGGCCCAGTTGGGTTTGGAGGGTGTTGTCCACACGGACGACGCGGGTTCGATCCCCCCTCAATGCCCTCTGGGTCTGAGCCTGTCGCACGGGGCTTACCTAATGCGGTTTACATACCCTGTGTGGCTTGCAGGCTATTACACAGTGGGGGATTTACCTAGTGCGCGCACAGTGCTCACCCGAAGGACAAAAACTATGGCAGATGCTGTAGCGGCTGCGGGTTTTCTTAGGTTCCAAAAAAAAAAAAAAAAAGTCTACAATACTTGCAGCCACCACAATACCTACTACCTACTTACTCAGTTGGTTAGGCATAGAATAAACTCCAAATTTTTATTGCAGAACAATAACAACAATTAGCAGAATGAAAGAATTAAAGTAAATTTTATGTACATATTTTTTGCAGAATAAATCTTTAAAAAGCTAACTGCAAGTAAGTGTTTACAGTAGAAAAAAATTTATAAAGAGGAGTACTATTTATCATCTCTAGCTTCTTGCTCTGTACTATCTCCTTGCACTTCAATATGGAGGAGTTCTTGTTCTTCTTCATCATCATGAGGAAGTTTCAGAAGAAGAATAATTAACTCATCATCATCCATTCTAACAGCCCAGATTTGAATTATGTTCCCCTCTTTGATATTATTATGATTACGCATATCAGTCCATTTCCCATTCAACACATAACTTACACTTGTCTTACATTCTTCCTTGTGTTTCTGCTTCTTCATCTCCCATCTCCTCAACTCAAGTTCCCCAATCTTGAGAGACGGTTCCATTACTCGTACAGTCATGGAATTCACATGTTTGCCAATATTACTACGCGTACGCAGATACTCTTCTTCTTCATCTCTCAAAAATTTCTCCTTAATTTGTGCTGCTGGTATTGACAGCCGATTATGACTTTCACTTGCATCCGTTTTATACACTTGTTTTTCTATTATCAATTTCACCTCTTTTACTTTTTTCCCTAACTCATTTATCCGATTCTTGAATACTGCAGGCAGTTCAGACTCTGTCCTCTTAAAAAGTTTCTTCTTTTTTATTTCTTCTTGATCATCACTAATTTCAGACCTTTTTCGTTTGAGACCTGAAGAACTTCCACGAATTAATATTCTTTTCTGTTGTACTTCATCATCCATAGATCTCTTGAGTTTCTTTTCTCTCCTCAAAATCTCTTCATGATCTTCTGTTGGCATAAGTTTTTTCTCTGAATTTTCTTCTTGATCACTAATTTTCTTGTCAAACTCATCTTTGATGGACCAAGTGAGAACATCATTAGTAGTTTCATTGCTTTTCCAACAAGTAAAACCATTCATATCAAAACCCATTAATCGTTTCTTGAAATTGTCTTTCTCCCACCTTTTCATAATTATTTTTGTACGCTTACGATCATCACCATCAACAATGGCGACATTGTTAGAACACCCATCTTTCTTTGAGTTTTCATTCCTAGTGGGACTTTTGGGGAATTCCACCATTCTTGAAGGCGAAGTAGCATCAGTTGAACTTGCAATTTTCTTGTTGATTTCTAATTTTTCTTTCTGATGAATCTCAGAAGCACGTTCACAAACAGCACCCAAGATATCAAGAGGACACCAATTGGGATGAACTTCTATATCTTCAACGTCTTCAAGTGTCAATTGCCTCATCTTTCTGTACAATGATGAAATTATTAGTTTGGAAAAAGAATTGTTTAATGGTTCTTGACAAAATTGTTTGTTAAATAGACTTTGCGTTTTCCTAATTCAGCCCAAACTACAACTCCTAATTATACAAGGAAAGAGTTAATTTCTTACGCGTTCCTTCATAATATAGTCGTTAATTATACTTAGGTTATGCATTTCACTGCTGCTTGCAAATTCTGTAAATTGTATTGAACGCCCATATAATAATATTCTTTTTTATACAAAATTAAAAATTAATTAGAAATCCTGCATAAATAAAGATTTTCATTATTTAAGAGGGTTTAAGTCTTTGTTCTGGAAAGCATGGGATGCATATGCAACTAAATTAAATTTAAAAAACAGTAAGTTGAGAAATATATATATATATATATATATGTATCTTTTTTTTAGGGGGAGGGGGAACTTAAAGGATGCATTTATATAACTACTTAGATTGTTTGAATATATGCATCAAAGGGAATATTTTACCATATTAGGATCTCCGATCAAATTCGAATACTAGGCCAAAATATGAAAGCTATTACTATTACATTTCAAAACATGTCTAGAAAAAGTAGTTCTAAGGATATTTGCCCAAAAAACTTCATTTGCAAATACCGGAGCACTCAGAGATAATAGGATCATAAATGTCATTACCTAATTCTAGCATTCTTATAACCACAATTGAGCCAATAGTTATCTACAGTGGAGTGAGGTTTATGTCAGCAGCAATTTGCAAACCCTGCAACGGAGCTATTAATTCAGAATGAGTATTAGAAGTGTGTGGGACGCTACCCAGAAATCCTATTACCCGGTCATCATTGGAGTTTTTGAAGACACCGCCGACCAGTGCCGGCTCTAAAGGTGTATGGGGTGAGCAGTGGCGGAGCCAGGATCTTCACGAACGGGGTTCAAAAATTTTTTTTTGTAGCTAGTGGGAATTGAACCCATGACCTTATGTAAAGTTTG